TTGCAAGATATAATCTGCAACTTCCCTAGCCCTTTCGTTCCAGATAATCACAATTGTGAGGGTTCACAAAATGCCACATGGTATGTTCAAATTCGCGATCAATTCGGTTCAGACCGGCATCACATGATTGTGAGGGTACGTATAGATGCGCAAAAGGCCGCAGTTCCACCATTTGACTGGTAACAGCCAACTTGAGTAGACCTGTCTAAAGCATTCCTCAGTGTTTTGTTTACATTCGTGCATCAATATGAATTCAGCAAGTAAGTATATCTCGGTTGAAGTTATTTTTTCATATTATGTACATGATGTTGACAATAAAGGTCAATATTTGAGCCTACACATTGATTGATATGAAAAAATTAATAATTAGGACTTCTGGGATTGGTTGATTTCATGATATCACAGTTGTGAGCATCAGGACTCAACTACTTCAGGAATATCGTGGAAGTTGAGATTTTTTTCTTCTTCCAGAGGACAGGAATTTCATTGATTTGGATCATCTTCGAGATAATCCTGATGCCATTTTCGATTTATTAGATGAAGTTGGATCTGATTTCGGAGTCGACAATGACCTCGACGATGACGAGCCCGAAGACGATATTTTGTCACTTGCCCAACTCGACAATGGTATCGATATCGGTTCTGAAAGATCACTTTCAGATGAATCAGATGATGATGATCCAGAGATGAATATGAGACTGAGCGACCTTGCAAATAAATACAGCAAACAGTCATGGAATCGAATTGTTTTCGATAGTAAAAATGGACCAGAAGATAACATGAATAGCATTGACACAAATGAAGTTTTATCACCGTGGGGATACTTCAGCAGATACTTGGGTGAATCATTTTACGAACTGGTGGCAGAAAAAACAGCACAATTCTTTTTACAGCAAAACGGAAGAGAAATCAAGCCAGCTGTTACACCGACGGAGATCAAGAAATTTTTCGGCATTCATGCAAGCATGGGCTGTATGAAGTTTCCTAGGATTCGTTTGTATTGGAGTAAGAAATTCATTTTTCCAGCAATATCAGATCAAATGCCAAGAGACAGATTCTTCCTTTTACGTAATATTCTACACATTGTAGACAATTTGAACGTTTCCGAAGATACGAAAAGAAACAACCGTCTGTGGAAAGTTCAACCGATGATTGACCAAGTCAGATCACGCTGCTTACAGATACAAAGACCAACAAATGGTTCATTTTCTGTTGATGAGCAGATGATTCCATTTTTGGGCCGTTGCCCTGTTCGACAATACGTCAAAAATAAACCCCGCCCTGTAGGTCTCAAAAACTTCGTCATCACTACATCGGAAGGATTAGTGCTCGATTTTGAAATTTATCAGGGTAATACCACACGATTTTCATCCAAAGAATTGGGTTTGGGTCCATCTGTAGTCATTCGTTTAGTAGAAACACTACCTATTGGGAGCTACATCTTTTTTGACAGATACTTTTCAACATTGTCCCTGTTTGATGAACTCAAAGTGCTCGGCATGGAAGGAACTGGAACCATGATGAATAATAGACTGGGTAAGAATTGTATCCTCAGAGCTGATAATACCTTGTCAAGGGGAGAGACTGATTCGATAGTCAGAGGTGATAAAAACATATGTTTGACCAAATGGAAAGACAATAAGTGTGTGGTCATGGCTTCCACAGCTTTTGGAGCGAATCCAATGAATGAAGTGAATAGATGGGATAAAATCCAGAAGGTTCGTAGAGGAATTCCTTGTCCAAATGTTGTGAAATCTTACAATGAAAAAATGGGTGGTGTAGATGTTTGTGATATGATGTTGGAATGTTACCGAACTTTCTTCAAGACGAAGAAATGGCCAATAAAAGTAATTCTACACCTATTTGATTTGGCTATTGTTAACAGCTGGATGGAATACCGCAGAGATTTCAAGAAAAATGGATTGCCTGTCAAAGACATGAAGGATCTGCTGGACTTCAGATTGGATTTGGCCGAATTCCTCTCATGTGGTACGAAGAAACGCAAAAGGGAAGATGAAAATGACGAAAACGATTCTTTAGAATCTAAGGAGAAAAAATCCAGATGTGCACCAATGCCATGTAAAGATAAGAGATATGACTGCTTCGATCACTGGCCGATCAGTGAAAACCTGAAGCATCCATTGAACTGTCGTCTTGAGAGCTGTAGGAGTCGCTCGAGAACAAAATGCAGTAAATGTGACGTGTACTTGTGCCTTAGCAAAGACCAAAATTGTTTCATGGGATTTCATAAAAGATAAATAAACGATTCAACAGTATCTTCTTGTTCATTGATTATTCCATCACAAATGTGAGGCTACATTGTTCGTAACGATATAACACAATTGTGAGTGTCCTTGGAATCCTGTTGAATGTCCTCCGAATCCATGAACATGATTTGCCCCTCCGATTGCATGCCTCGTTTAGTATATAATATGAATTTCGCACAGAAAATATAGTTTTTCTGACCTTGGGTCTGAAAGGGCTAGAAAATAGATCTGTTTTATTAAGGAACGAGTTCATTAGCAAAAAAATGGCTGACTAGTTATGTATAACCTATCGTAATATAACGATAGTGAAGAGTTATAGATACTATCGCAAAATATCATAATTTATCTTCATTAGTAATCAACTTTATTCAGCCAATGAGAGATTTATGGGAATCATTCATAATACTTGACAAAGTAGGATTGAAGAACTCATTATAACCCATTGCTGTTATGATATAGTTATCATGCATTCAAAGAACAATTTCCGGATATCTAGACATATTGATGATGTCAGCAACGTCGTACTGGCACAGAGAATCGTACTTTAACTATGTGTAAATGTGGATTTTCATGAAGTTCGTCATAGGAATGGTGGAGGAGCCAAGTTCCTCTTTTATTTATTTTTTTCTGAAGTGAAATTTGATCTTACGAAAAAAAAAATACGTATACTATATTATTTTTTTAGAAACTTCACAGTGAGATGAAAACGTCAATATAGGAAACTTCCCCATTGAACTAGGCCAACTGACAATCCATTCAGGATTGATTGGGTTTGATTATACGAAGATTGAGATTCTTTCATTCATATTTTCCCTATTGCCCCATCCTAGGGTATGTTCATGAGTCAATGTGGGTATAGTCATTCTTTATTCCCTCTTGTCTTAACCTAATTTCTGTGAGGAAACCGAGGTGAAGAATATATTGGTTTTGATGTTTTGATTTTTATTTATTCTCAGGCAAAAAAACCGGCCACCAAAAAAGTTAGCCAAATTATTCGCCCTGTAAATTTTTCAATTCTTGTCCAATTTTTGTGTTTCGACCACATATATTCATGTTTTGGAATGTTAGCCTGGATATTAGGTTCTGAGAAAAGCTGATGGCTTGATCATTATACAGCGAAAAACGACTTTCGATTTACGTTGATAAATTCTTTTCAAGAGAATATACAAGTTTGAGAAAATATGGATTCATTTTTATTAACAATAATTCAGAACCATTCCCAGCCTTCTCCTTCATCATGTTTCGAATTGAAGTGTGATCCTCTTTCGTCCCTTCTTAACACAATGATTCTTGATGATTCACGTCAATATCTTCTTTTTGAGAGAAGATACAAGTGTTTTAGGAAAGTATGGAAAAAAACAATAATTCAGCACTTATCGATCATCCAAAGGGATGAATTCCAGAGGCTCAATCATCTTCGTTCGGCCATGTCAGAGACTCTTCAAGAGCTACGATTCGCCGTTCAAGGAGAATTTCAGACACTTCTTCAAGACTATTTGGGAAATTTGATCTCTCGATGCCACGGCGGTTGAATGCAGTAATTCATTCATTGACTTCAGGTCTGCTTTTTGTTTCTTTTTTGTAATCAAGAATTCTTCTGGTAGAAATAAGTTTGATTCATTCTTTGAGTTGTTATTCAGTTTATGTAGGTTCTGATTATCGTTGATAAAAATTGAAAAATGCCATACTTTCTCAAAACACTCGTATCTTCTCTTAAAAATAAGGTATTGGCGTGATTCGAAAACTATTGTGTTGAGAAGTGATCATGATTCAATCCGAAACATAATGAAACCAAGTTCAACCACTCAATTTCGCTACAGGGCGTTAAGAAGTAAAAGTTGCAATGGTAAGTTTGGTTTTTCCTCAAGTCAGCTTTCCATGGAAACTAATATTAGGGCTAACATTCCGAAACATGAATCTTCGACTTGATCAAAACTTCACAAAAATCGGATAAGGCTTGCAACAGTTACGGGATGAACAATTTGGGCAAATTTGTTTGTTTTGTTGCCGGTGAGTGTATATAATTCAGTGATAAATTTGAGGTGACGAATCTATTGCATGGTTTAGTGAAATTTTCCTTTCCGAGTTTTACCGCACTCCCAATTAGTCTAATTTATTCAGGAAGATGGTTGAATAGTCAGGTACTGTACTGGTATATTACATTTTTATATACGGTGAAACAGAATGATTCTATATCGTCTTTTCCCATGTTGTTATTCTAGCAACATTTCTGAAATTTGGAACATCGAATATGCTCACTAGAGACTAGAGGACACTTTCTCACTTTTTTTTGTGTATCAAAATAAAATTTAATATGGGTATATGGTATGTGAAGAGGAAAGTTTTCGTATATTTCACTTCCTGGTCTCTCCCGGTTTTCCTGGAAATGACATCAACTTTCGATCGGTTAGGGATTATTAGAACGAATTCAACGATACCGGGTTTGATAGTTTAGATATTGCACGTCACACCCATTGAGAATATATGGAAACTCCGAACGCGAATATATTCCCAATCATTGAAATAACCTTATCAAACCCGATATGGTTGAATTCGTTATATTTATCCAACTTCATGTCATTTATAGGAAAAACAGTAAGGAATTTCAGAAATATAGTTGAGAAAACAAAGGAGAAAAGGGTGGAATACCTTGATTCTGTGTCACCAGGTATTTTTCTCGGAGTTATAATATCCTGATTTTGTGTAGATAACTTATTCGTTGTCTTCATTCAGGTTGTAAGAGTGGGAGGACAATCGAAAAATGAGAGATTGAACAGTTTCAACATCAGACACAAAAGAAGAAGGTATGTCAATGATGCCGTGTATCAGAGAAGAAACGAGGTTAGAAATTTCCTGCATAAGATTTCGACGATAAACTCACATCTGAACGTGATAGCATCAAACAGCAGCGTCATCAACTTCAGTGCGTTTGAAGAAGTAGTACCAGATTTCACAGATACCTGGTTTGGTTCAGCAAACAGTGACCAAATTCACATGTGGCTGTTTGGCGGATTCGATGTTCGCAGATCCAGACAGAGAGATATAACCAATGTAGGAAATCAGGTGAGAATTCAATGAATTGCTAAAATTGAAGATTTTTAATGATACTACAGAAATAATCATTATACAGGGTGTTTCGAAATTCGACCGACAATGCTTGACAGGTGATGGCCCTCGTGATTTCAGGATTACTGAGATAGGGACATACGGTCTTCAAGTGTTCAGTTCTCGAGATACAGGGCGTTGAAGTTGAGATAAAAATAGCTGTTTCGCAATATCTCAAGAATAATTGAATATAATGCATTCAACTTCGGTATATGGTTTCATCTTTGAATGGGTCATTTTTTGACCAGGAAGCCATTCCGGACATTTTATCCAGTGGTACCCTACAGGAGGTTGTGACAACTTTTCCTCCCATATTTTCTACGCCACTGATTAACTTTCGAATATTTCCAATTCCTCGAATTCACTGTTCAATTCTGTTCAGGAAATGCATCACCTTCAACTGAGCTGAAATGAACAGTTTTCGAAATATTCGACCCAGGTGATATTTCATCATTTTCAGTAGTAGAAAATTGCAAAAATATTTTTCTGGTGTTGAGTAGATTAGAAACTATTCAGATCCCATTCTATAGCTGAACAGAAATAGTTATTCCACGCATAAAGAGAAAACAAACAAATTTTCTACTACTGAGGAAGATGAAAAATTACTATGCAAACTTCTATTTTGGGTAAAATATCTTGATAACTGTTCATTTTAGCTTAGTTGAAGGTGATGCATTTTTTGATCATAATTGAACAATTCGAGAAATTGGAAATAATTAAAATTTCATCAGTGGTGTAGAAAACATGGGAGGAAAAGTTATCACAACCCTCTGTAGCGCACCTCTGGATATAATTCTCGGAATGTCTTTCTGGTCAAAAAACTAACCGTTGAAAGATGAAACCTTATACCGAATTTGAATGCATTATATTCAATTTTTCTTGAGATATTGCGAAAAAACTATTTTAATTTCTCAACTTCAACGCCCTGTATCTCGAGAACTGAACACTTGAAGACCGTATGTCCCTATCTCAGTGATTATGAAATCACGAGCGCTATCACCTGTCAAGCGTTGTCGGTCGAATTTCGCAACACCCTGTATATTGTTTCCAATTTCTAATATTTCCAGGCTAACAGAGATGCTGCTGCCAATAATGAGGAACCAAAAGAAGGAGAACAAAAAAAGGAAGAACCGATCGTAGGAGAACCAAAAGAGGAGGAACCGATAATAGGAGAAGAAACTATGGATGTAAATAACGATGTTATTGTAGATGACATTTTCGACAATATAGTGGTGCAAGACCTCGATGAATTGGTGAGCGTGAAAACTTTACAAATTAAACTGAACGAGCTTTACAGGAACTTGGAAGAAATAAACCAAAGACAAATATTAACCTATTGGGACAAATTGTCGAAAATGCAGGAGGAAGATATGTTGAACTTTGAGATTTACAGGGTCGAAAATGAATTGCAGTATCTAAAGGTAATTTATCATGTAGAATGTAAACACAAAAATGTTTTTCCACCACTAGCTATAAAACCGACCATTATATACCCTTTTTCGGACCGTAAAGTGTGTTTTTACTACCAAGGTAGTTTTCGTAATTTTATGAACCACTAGTCAATTGAGACATAGCCACTTCTGTTATAATTAATCAGTATTCACGCTGTTCCTATGCGACATTCGCAGGAATGACACCCGAATCAGTAGGTATTTATCAATGATGGCTTGTCATATGCTGTCATGGTCATGGCAACTAGATTTTAATTAGAATTGAAAAGAAGTACTTCCATAATATTGAAAATAGGTTCATATTTCAGTTTCACATAACTAAAATGATTACAATGCATTGCTAGGGGTGAAAAAAATTCAATATACACCTTGGTAGTGAATAATATTATTACCACGGGACATTATACCCCCTCGGCTGAAGCCTCAAGATATAATCTTGGTCCCTTTGTAAAAATGATATTCTCTACTACCTCCGTGTATAAATAACTATTTTTCTCTTGATAACATATCTCTCACATTGATCGAAAGTTAATTTCGTTTTTTTCCTCAATATGCGGTTGTTATAAAATAATAATGTTTCTTCAATACAATGTTGAAGTAATCTTTCCACCATTAGCTATATAGAACCTACAATTATTTACTCCTTCTCAAGGGGTGAAGTGTGTTTCCTCTATACCAACGTTAGTAGTTCTCGTCATTTTATGAACCACTAGTCAATAAAGACAGCCACCTCTGATATCATAAATCTGAATTCACTGTTCCTATGCGAGAATCGCACTCGAATCTAGTAGTTATTCATAAATAAAGACTTCTTATATGCTATCAGGGTCATGGCTACTAGATTTTAATTGAAATTGGAAAGAAGTGCTTTCATAGTGACAGTATAGGTTCATATTTCGGCTCACGCTGCAAACTTGATTCTCGTGGGAAATTACTATCATTCCGTGCTCATTGAACAATACAGGGTGTTTCAGATTCGAATCTACATATGATACCTGCAGCTAGAGGACACTTTGATGGTTCCAAATCACCCCTTATTGATGTATATTGTATTTTATAACTGAGAAACAGGACGTTTTCTTGATTTTGGCAAAATATTCATCTGGTCCTAATTTTTGAACCACTTTGTATAGTCTATTCATACTTGGTAAAAATATTCCACTTATATAATTATATCATCTATCAAAATTGATTTAAAATCGAGATCAGAATCCAGGTCTTAAAGGTCTTAAAGAAAAGCAGACATCTGATTTTATTTCAAAAACAAAAACAAAAATCACAAAGAGAGAGAAACTCAAAGTCATTACCACATACTAGTTCATAAAATGAACGACAATGGTAGATAACGAGAGAAAAACAACTACTTTCCTGGCTATATGCCACGCAGAACATTGCATTACATCCTCCCGAAATATATGCGATAGTTCGTATAAACGAATAAAATCGCAAGTGTTTCCTTCCTAAACGCTGAGCTGCGCTTAAGTGGTTCAGGAACGCTGACTACCTGCAGACCGGTTTCGAGCTCTTGGCTCTCATCAGTACAGGGCTGTCCCAGATAGCTTCTTGACCGAGTTCAGGAGTGTAACATGACAGATCCTAAATGCGCATGAATTAGTTTCACCAGTTCGATCTCTTGAGTGGCTCACCTTTTTCCTTATAGAATTGGCGGTCTAGGTTAATCTATGAGTAGCTGGTTTCTATATTTGGAATTTTGGAAAGAGCGAGAAAAAATGAATAAAGTCACCTACTTTTCACGAGCGCGCATCTAATTTGACAGATGTTTTATCATTATTTTTTGGAATATTCTGCTTTATTTTGAGGCATTCGTATTGAACTCGTAATTCAAAATCCAATTTTAATACAAGGAAGTAACATTTTTCAAAGTTCAACATCACTAGTGTCAAATAAGGAACTAGACAAGCCCAGTCAGCACATCCTTCCATTGTCAACCTCGAAAGATGTCGAACAGCGCTTTATCAAAACTCCTTCATCCATAGAACGGCTAGGCTCTGGAATGCATTGCCCGAGGAAGTATTCCCAACAACATATAATCTCCAGAAGTTCAAAAAAAATTCCAATGCCTACCTCCTGTCCCTATCTTCCCTAGGAACGCACGATGTTCTTTGAACATTATAGGAGTTCCCTTTCGTGCGCTTCAAGCGATAAAAAAAAACAAAAGTCTGACAGCTCATAATCACTAGTGTGATATTATTGGTCAAGTTGAAGTTGGGTTCCAAGCACCAACAATTTCCTTAACGTATACCAATGATATCACACTAGTGATTTTGAACTGTCAGAACATTTGAATATTTGCACAGCCTACTTTACCGCAGCAGGACGCAGCTTATGAATTGATAGTGAAGAATAATGGACCCTCGAAAGTATCAATTTCAAATGAACTTTATACCTAATTTGACTCTCATGATGTTGAACTCTGAAAATGTTATTTTTTTTATTGAAATTGGATTTTGAATTATCAGTTCAATGAAAATGCCTCAAAATGGAGCGGAATATTTCAAAAAATTATAATAAAACATCTGTCAAATTGGATGCGCGCTCCTGAGAATTAGTTTTTTTCCCGATCTTTGCAAATACCAAAAAAGGTCTATAAAATTAGCCATATAGAGTGTTATTTTTAAAACGAAAGAAGTTTTCTTTTCTGCCTCAAGACATAGCTGGATTTTGATCTCAATTTTTATTCACTTCTGATAGGTAATATTAGTGGAATATTTCTACAAAGTATGAATGGATTACACAGAGTGGTTCAAAAATCATGACCAGATGAGTATTTTGCCAAAATCAAGAAAATGCCCTGTATCTCGGTTATTAAAGATGGTAGACACATCAATGGGAAGTGATTTGAAACGACCCTGTATTCTAATTCACAGTTGAGACTGAATGAAAGAAGAATAAACACAAATGGGCTCCAACCTCAGTTTGTTGATTTGGTGAATCCTCACCGCATGACCCCTAACGACAGATGGCAGTTGTACTATCACTGGCTGTCACTGTATGTTGAAAGTCAAAAAGTCAAGAAAGAAGAAAGCACCAGATTATTCAGAAGGGTGTATGCAGTGTATTCTGATATGATGAGCATGGAAGATGCCCAAGTCATGAAAGGTAACGTAACTCATTTTGAAGGCCGATAAAATTCTTGCTTTTTACTTGAGTCCCTGTATGTATTTGACAGTTCTGCTGTAATTCGCGAAAATCACGAAGTGGGTGGCCTCTGGTGTTTGATTTTGGAAATAAAATAGAGGTGAACACTTAGATCATCTGTAAGATCTAAGCGTTGATCTAAGGGTGAACAACAATCCATTTTAGCATTGTCTGTCACCACTTGTCACTATTGTCAGCATTATGATTCAATACTTTTATAGTTAAAAGTAGACTATTTTCAATGATTTTCGTGATTATTTTGTATAGGTATATGGGATAGGTAGATATTTTCAACCTTTCAACATGCAGCAAATACATAAAACCAAAAATACGAAATCGAGAAAGTGTTGTTCAGTTCCGCAGTGCTCTTCATATTGTACAGACAGTGTTTCTTTACACAAATTTCCACTTTGGAACCCCAAATTGTGTAAAAGATGAAGGAATTTGTTGGAGATTGGTAAACCAATAACCAATAATATGTACGTTAGTAGTGAGCACTTCTTACCTGGAGATTTTACATCCTTCAATAAATCTTTAACTGAAGGTAAAGTTTAAGGAATTGAACTTCTTTAAATCACATCTATGCTTGCAAATTTCATTTAAGGCTCATCAACTGGTAAACCACGACAGCGGATAAAAAAGATAGCCATACCTTCTGTGAACCTTCCAAAGTCATCACATGAAAATACAAAGTGTGAGCGAAGAATGTGAGTGATGATACATAGGTTCTCAAATTGGATGATGTTTGTGCTTTGAATTTTCTAGATTGATGGAACTTCAACAGATAAATACAAAAAATCAAATAGGTCAAGATGTAAGTACTCTAACAAAACAAATTGACCAGTTAGAAGACCAATCTAAGATTACTGATGAAATGGAATTGGAGACAATAATTGGAAGTCAGCTTGGGAATGATGTGATTAGTGAAATGGACATAGAAGTAGAGAAAACTGAAAATCAATCTGTGAGTAATGAGGCCCTTATTGAGTTACCAAAGCCAACAGAGAAAACAAAACCAATTGACCAGTTACAAGACCAATCTGAAATTACTGATGAAATGGAATTGGAGACAATAATTGAAAGTCAGCTTGGGAATGATGTGAATATTGAAATGAACATAGAAGTAGAGAAAACTGAAAATCAATCTATGAGACATGATACCCTTATTGAGTTACCAAAGTCAACAGAGATATCTCAAGTTATTTTTCAACTGCCTCAAATATTAAATACAAACGAAAAATTGAAAACATTCACAGGTATAGTAAATCAATTATGTATACTTTATTTATTTAACAACATAATATGTAAACTGTAACTTTCAATCTGAATTATAAATATTTTTTTTAGGTGTGGATTATACAATCTTGAAAGCCTATAAAATGTGTATGGAGAATACAGCATCCTACAATAATATCAATCCAACTAATATTGAATTCAGCATAATACTTGTGTTATGCAAATTAAAGACAAATCTTTCATTTTCTTGTCTATCACTTCTGTTTGGTATCAGCAAGTCTACTTGCACAAGAATGTTTTACTCAACAATTCATCTACTGGCATTGAGCATTAAATCGGTTATTCATTGGCCAACTAAAGAGCAAATTGTAGAGAATTTGCCAAAATGTTTCCATAGATTCAAAAATACAAGAGTGGTTCTGGATTGTACAGAAGTGAAAGTTCAAAAATTGAAATGTTTGAAATGCAGGATTTTATCATATTCTCACTATAAAAGAACACACACTGCTAAATTTCTTATTGGGATTACTCCATCTGGATTGATTTCATTTGTCAGTAAAGCCTATGGAGGTAGAGCTACTGATAAAGCAATTTTCAATAAGGAAAATCTCATTCAAAAGTTTCAACCCAATGATGGAATAATGGTGGATAAGGGCGTTTTGATTGAAAAGGAATGTGAAGAAAATTTTCTGAAATTGATAAGACCGCCATTTCTGAGAAAGAAGAAACAACTTACAAAAGAAGATGCAAAATTAACTGCAGAGATTGCAAGAGCAAGAGTGCATGTAGAGCGAGCCATTGAAAAAATTAAAAATTTTGCTATTCTGAAGGATCAAATAGACTGGTATATGATACCTTATCTCAATGACATTATGATAATTGTTGCTGCCACAGTGAATATGAAAACACCAATTTTAGGGGATGATAAATTTTGATGTTTTATAGGAATGAAAAAACAAAATCAATAGATAAATCACCCATTAATCATTTGTTTTATTGATACAATAATAATGCAACATGTGAAGATATTTTTTTGATATTGTCCTTATTAAATCTGAAGAGAACATCTTATCAAACTGTATTTTCACCTCCACATAGCTGTGAGAAAATGAGGAATATACCAACAAATGTGTCTCTGTCAGATTAAGTAGGGCCATTCCCAGCTGCACCTGTCCATAATAGGCATGTTTTGTTTTCAATTTTACTCCAGACCCATCATTCATAAGAAAATCACATGATTGCAGGAATTTCTCTGACCCATTTGACTTTCCTGAAAAATGTGTGATGAATCATACTGAAATTCTAAATTAATAACAAACCAGAGTATGGACATTTTATTTCAATTAATTTCCATGGTTTTCCATCCTGAAAAATAATGGCATCTGGAGAAAATCCCAACCATGGAAACTGTTGGGAGATGAATAGGTTAGTTTCAAAGATTTCATATTCTTTATTATTCGATTGGAATAATTTTAGTGCCTCTGACTCATATTTCAGGCCATGTACAGTGAACTTATTCGAAAATCCCTTTGGGAAAAAAAAACTTGAAGCTTTGCTCTCCCAGGTGTTCTTTTTAAAAGTGTATATAGAGTAGCAATTAGAACCTAAAATGACTCAATGTAGAATATAGGTATATCAAAACATAATGTAATCTCCAAACTCACCAGTGATTCTGAGCTGTCTCTCTTTTTTCCACTTTTCAGACCCCTGTGAATATTCAAGAGCCACCTTCATAACATCTGTGCTCTTGAGGTTCTCCAGAACTGCCTCACAGCATGGTCGCAGGTCAATTAATTCAGAATTTATATTATTCAATTCTCTAAGAAATTTGCTGTTTTCAGTATTTTTCATTAATTCCATAACTGATTTGAGTTTAGATGTAGTTGACCTGGAATATATGAAAAACAAAACAGAAAAAAGAACATCAAAATAAAGAAGTGGAGCAGTTATGTTTCCAATTAAAAGAGGCTGATGGGCCTGTAGTAATAAACATGTATTATACAACCTATCCTCCCTATGAGTAGGAACAGAATTAGTATTCCAGTCATCAGTAGAAACCTCTGTAGAAATTTTTCTACAAGATGCTTCATTATTACTTTCTACTACCATCTTATTTCCTGAATTTCTACCAATGAATTTAGTAATAGCAGCAATTCCAGAGGCTGAAAATAAATCAAGAATGAAAGTTGAAAGTGAGAACTCTCAAGGATGCAAAATTTATGAGCTATTTTTGGAGTTCAGAATATAAAACATCATCTTATTGGCAAAAATAACACCTTCAACACCATCCACCTAGCCACTTGCCTGTAGAAAGTATTTCAAAATTCTGTTGGTTCAAATGATCATTTGTTTTGAGGTGAACTTTTTTTCTTTTTATAATGGGGTGGCAAAATTCACTCATGGGTTTTGCAGAATACATATCCTCCACTCCTTTCTTTTGTTTTCCCCACTGCTGGGTCAGATCTGTGCAGCTTACATAATCTAAATCTTCATTTCTGAAATTTCCATAGATTATTAATTTACTATTTATATTATGATACATGATGAAAATTGCAATTACCTGTTTATACAAATGAGTGTTCCAATAATATGTTTGCAGTAACCAGACAAACCTGCTTTGCAAGTACATTTGCATTCGAAAATGTTTTTTTCATTTGGGATGATACTTATTTCATGAGGAGACTCTGCTAATGCAGATGATTGTAAACACAAGCTTTTGATCACATGCGTTTGTTCTGCATCCACCCCACACAATATAATGTGACCTGCTCTAAAAACTGCTTCTCCTTCTTTCAAGGGTCTCACCCTATCGCCAATATATTCTAATATATCCGCGATGGACACTTCAACTTTAGGCATTTTTCTGAAATATTATGTGACAACAAAGTGACAACAGTTTGTTGTTCACCTCTATTTTGAAATTTGACGTTGGACAGGCGCCATCTTTTGGTTCGTGATTTTCGCGAATAAGAGTACGGACACTATGACAAGCAGTGACAGAAGGCATAACCCCAAATTCTCAAAATGACTTTGAAGGTTTGATTGAACAAAGACATGGATATGCTTTTCCATGTACTTCGGATCTTCTTTCCTCTACTGCCGCGGTGGTATTGGTCATGTCATTTGAAATTTTGTAGGGTTATGCCTTTTGTCACTGCTTGTCATAGTGTCCGTACTCTTATTACAGCAAAACTGTCAAATACATACAGGGACTCTTCTTTCTACTAAATTTAAAATCATGAAAAAAGTATACATCAGCCTTGTCATTATACATAATTTTTTAGGCACCTGTTAGTAGGTGTATGAGGTATATAATTTTTTTATGAAAAAACAAAATATATGACATTTACTTCCTATCAAAATTCTCAACCAAATTTAGGCACTATCAAGATAAATGGAGAAATTGAAATTCAGGAAACTGACTGTATCAAATACCTTGGTATAATGGTGGACAATAATCTGAAATGGGATCATCATATTGATTATGTCACTAAGAAAATAAGATGCCTCATTCCTAAATTCAAACATTTGAAAAACTTATTAAATATTCGAAGTTTAGAAATGATATACTATGCTTTAGTTCAATCTCAATTAGTTTATGGGATATTAGGATGGGGTGGAGTGAAGCAGATATATTTGAGAAAATTGGAAATTGCACAAAAATGGATTTTAAAAATTATTTATGGAAAAGATTATTTGTTTCCAACTGAACTTTTATATAAGGAATCTAAGAAAATGGATATAAATCAACTCTATATTTACAATTTACTGATTCATATTTTCAAAAGTAAAAAGGACATTCAGTTTAAAAAACATATCTATGACATAAGAAATAAGAATAACATAACATTGAAATATAAAACAAACAAGTCATTTGGACGTAGAAATTTTAAATTTTTAATTCCTTACCTATATAATAAAATTCCAAATGATATTATAAAAACAAAATCACTACAATCCTATACAATAAAAATAAAAAACTGGATATTAAACTCCCCTAAAATTTATTTTATTTATTTAATTAACATTTAATAATATCATTAGATAAATTTTAATAATAATTGTGAATAAGTATGTATGAATATAAATAATTAAGCGTATCGAATGAAATGCTCAGTACACTATATATTATGAATTGAATACTTGTCTCATTTCTTAATGAGACAATTTTCCCTTGTGATAACTTGATATTGTTAAATATTTATTGACCTATGTACATTTATTTATTTTTTATCCTTACTACAAGGTTAACTTCGTAAGGTTTTTCCCAGATTATTCAAATTACCTATATGTTTATTCCAATGTATATTTTGTAAACGTTTTTGAATAAACTTATATTATTATTATTATTATTAATAATTCCGGAGCAACATCATTTATGTAAATTCAACTAGATGGAATATTCAATATTCTATGTTATTTTTTTAGAGTCTTTGGTAGTTGGAATGACAACCACCGCTGCAGCTCGTCTACAATCGTCTCTCCAGGTCCTCAAGAGTCCCATAGTCATTGTAGAAGAAGCTGCTGAAGTATTGGAAGCCCACGTTATCAGCGCTCTAACCGCACACTGTAAACATCTCATCCTCATAGGTAAGTAAACCACTATTCACTAAAAAAACATCAGGTTTACCATTCAAAAATCTGAGGTGGGAACGATATTTGAAAGAAATAGACCCCTCAAATGAGAGATCTAGAGTGAAAACAATTTTATTTTTCACTTATCCATTACTGGTTAATTATACCTTGGCAATGGTTGCAATTGACAGACCCATAACGCCCGGAGATTATGGAGGGCATTATTGATTATTTTAAAATATTTTTTTTCTACAAACATCAAAAAATGACAAGGTTCGCGCATTGATAACAAATTGCGAAGTGACACTTTTTTTCAGTTTCCTACGTTACCAAGATTCCTTGCACAAAACAATGCGCGAAGTAAAACAGTGCGCGAAGTACCTACTTCGCGCATTGTTATGTAAAATAAATGAGATATTTATATTTCAACTTTATGGTCCTCAATCGAGCAGACATCCACAAAATCATTTATTTCTGAATGTTCAACAATAACTTTGTTTTTTCTCTTGGAGCGCACGAAAGGACATTCCTATTATGTTCGTGGAACATCGTGCGTACCTATGGTGGATAGGGGGAGACCTTTCAAGCCGGTTCAACACTATTTTTTATATCAAGATAAGGATATTTTTACTTCAGAACTATATTTTTTTACGTTTAATTGTAGAAAAAATTTTGTTTGCAACTCGAGCGCGAAATACTTTGGTCATCTCGACTATTTTTTTAACTCGGCTACGCCTCCTTAAAAAAATCAGATCTCGATCACCAAAGTAGCATTTCGCGCTCTAGATACAAAAATAACTATTCTACAGCTATAACACATGATTGCTCTTGTTTTACTGTGTTCCATACATCAATGAGTTACATTGTATGTCATCAAATTTATTTCCGTATCTGATATCACAATTACTAAATTATGTTATTATTTAAAAAAAAAAGTCATCGCCCATGGAATGTTAAATTCCAAGCAATGGCAGCTCTGTCTAATAGATGAGCATTACTTGACAGGAAATCAGATGGCTACAAGACGAAGAAATAGAAAATGCCGCTGTTATCTATTATAGCCGTAGAAAAATTACAGTGAATAACTTGCACGGAATGCTAATTTTGATGAAGATTATTCAGCAGATCTAAAGGAATTAGTAAAAATATACTTGATAACTTCATTGTGAAATGATTGACATCGATTTAATTATATGATCTGACATTCTTCTTCATCCATAAATGAAAATACCAGATTTTGAAAAAGTCGAGTACATTTTATAACAGTTCCCCTTGAACTGATTTTTTCTTCATTCCAAGTAGAAGCTTCAGTTTCTCGAATCTGCATGGAGTTAGAGATTTCGTCATATCAGCTACCTGCTCTTTTCACCTGGTATATGTTGAACATCGAAAATACCTTCATTGACATTTTCCCGTATGAAGTAGTAGCGAACATCAATATGTTTTGACCGTTTATGGAACTCTGGGTTTCTGATCAATTTTATTGCACTTGCATTATCAATTCTCAATATTGGGAATGTGTCGGTTGTCGGTATATATTTCTTGCAATAAACGTCTGAGCCAAATTATTTCCTTGACTGATTCACTGGCAGCAATGAATTCAGCTTAAGTGGTCGACAACGAAACTGACCTTTGCTTCTGACTCAGCCATGTTATCGCACCACCAGCGAACTTGCTCACCATCCCAGTGGTAGACCTACGAGTCTTTGAATCACCCACATAGTCAGCATCTGAATATATTGAAAAATACTGAAGTTTCGAATAATTTGCGTATACTTGATTTAGAATTATTATTTATTAGGTAAATATAAATAAAACGCAGGCTAGGATACAACTGATTTAATTATCGTCTCTTCTGGCATCGAACACACATAAAAAGAAGTATGCTACAAAAAGTAATATACCTTCGCCATAGGCGTAGGTAATAACATTTATCACATATATACCTATCCACTGCATTTTCACAACATCCATAATTTATTCCATGATTTGTAGTTCCTCGAATGTACTTCAGAATCCTCTTAACTTTCAATTAATCCTGTTTTCTTGGACTCTGGCAGAGATTGTGATATAAAATTGACAGGATAAGCTATATCTGGCATGGTTGCGACTGCCAAATATATCAAAGTGCCAACAGCTGATTGGAAAGGAACATTATCTTCTAAAATTCCATCAGCTTCCCCTAGACATTGACTCTTCTCAATCGGAGTTGATACTGGAAAAGCTTCCAACTTTCGGAACTGCTCCAATACACGAAGTGCATAATGTTTTTGATGGACAAAAATGACACCATCATTCTGTTGTTGAAGGATTTGAATTCCAAGAAAATTCATCACTGGATATGGTATTGTCTTGAATTATTGTCGGAGTTTGTCTTCAAATTCTCTCATCACATTTTTATCAGATCCAGCTATCAAACCATCGTCAACATAGAATACTATCAGTAATTTTGGGTCACTTTTAATCAGGGTTGGCCGATATATATATCAAGTGATATATATCATGATATGTATCATGATATATATCTGATATTTATTGATTGATATACAGGGTGTTTCCTAACTACGGTTCCTAACTGCAGGGGGTGATTTGTTAGGTCATTTTAAGAAAAAAAGTTCCTATGAACATATGTCCGGAGTTGCTTCGTTTCTGAGATACAGGGCGTTGAACTTGAAGAAAAAAAAACGGTAATTATAAAATATCATGAATATCCTGGAACCGATTTGGTTGAAATTTTGTACTTTTATTTGTCAAATTTTCTAAAATTTCCGCATATCAAGTGTCAATTATATTTTTGGCGGAAATAATGAAAAACTCATTTCTCCAATGCAGGTGTTCATGATATGCAATACAGTGGATTTAATGTTTTTTCTCGAAAACGAAGCTGGATATGAAGAAAATACAGGAGACCAAAAAGTTGTATTTTGAGTTGCTTAATCTAAAAAAAATGAAAATTTACCAAAAAAGTCAGTGGCGTACTTTTTTTTTAGAATATTGTTGGCTCTGGTGCCCACTGAGACGCCACTGGCCCCAATAATTTCAATCTGAATAGGGCTAAATAAGCGCCTTATTAGTTCAAATAAAAGTACTAAATTTCAACCAAATCGGTTCCAGGATATTCATGATATTTTGTAATTACCGTTTTTTTTTCTTCAATTTCATCGCCCTGTATCTCAGAAACGAAGCAACTCCGGACATATGTTAATAGGAACTTTTCTTCCTAAAATGACCTAACGAATCACCACCTGCAGTTAGGAACCGTAGTTAGGAAACACCCTGTATATCATGATATACAGGGTGTCCGGGAACATGTGGGAAATCTCCCGGATATGAACACGTGAAAAGAATACTATAAGTTCATATAAACTTCTTTTGTATCGGCCTCCTCTTCGGAGATATGGGCTCCCAAAGAGCTCCCATGGAATTAAGTTTTTGACACATAATTCTTGAACCAACAGGTATATTTCAATTTTTTTTTATTATGATGTATACTAGGTAAGACTCTTCAAATTACTATCCAAGAAAGTGTTGCGAATTACTCACAGCTCCAGGGACGGACTAGCTGTGACACTCATGGGCCCATTTTTTTTACGCCCTGTATGATAAGAACTCTGGACAACGTTTTTTACATACCTCTAACTATTGACTAAAAATTAAGTACTCTTCATTCATGTCGCTAATCATAACCGTTTTCGGAAAAACGTCATTTTATTTATATCATGTATTTAGCGTATTTCGATAAAAGATACTTTTTTTTCGAGTTACCTTTGCAAACGTTGCTAGGTTAGAAATAAATAAATATCCTTCATTTTAGAACTTGTCAACTTTCACATTACTGATACATTGATTCCTTATTACTTTGATATTTGATTTTTGAATTTCGTTGTGAAATTAATTGTGAAATAATTCGAAATATGGAATACACGTTTATTGAGTATGCAGATATGCATCTGATGTATGGTTTTGCATCTTCCAATGCTTTGGAAGCCAGAAGGTTATATCACGACAGATTTCCTAATCGCACTCTTCCAGATCAGAAGACATTTCAACGAGTTGACCAACGTCTAAGGGAGAATGGTGGGCGATTCTTCTTAATAAGGTATAATAAGGTAATGTTATTTACTTCTTTCATAATTTTAGGAAATTTTGGAAAAAGAAGTAATAATACTGGTCAGGGAAGAACAGTACGTACGCCGCAATTAGAGGAAAATATTTTAAATGCTGTATATGATACTCCTTCAACGAGCACTCGAAAATTATCAGCGCAGTTTAATGCGTCGAAAACAATAGTACATGAAGTTCTTCAAGAACAACTGTTATACCCATATCATTTGCAAAAAGTGCATGAACTGATTCCTGAAGATTTTTCCCGTAGAATGCATTTTGCAAACTGGCTATTGGATCAGCAACGAAATAATGTAAACTTCATTAGCACTATTCTCTTCACGGATGAAGCAGGTTTTACCAAAAATGGTATCATGAATTTACATAACACCCATGTATGGGCTGATGAAAATCCTCATGCCACTATTGTTTCGCATCGCCAACATCAGTTCCAATCAATTAATGTCTGGGCAGGAATCGTTGGCAATTTTTTGATTGGACCATTCGTATTGTCGGCACGATTGAATGGAATACTTTATTTGGAGTTCCTCCAGAACGCTTTTAATGATTTAGTCGAGCACTTACCACTTGAAACCCGCCTCATTTCAGCGTTGCTGTGCGGGAGCACCTGAATAACGTCTATCCAAACCGTTGGATAGGTAGAGGAGGACCTATTGCCTGGCCTCCTAGATCTCCCGACCTAACGCCATTAGATTTTTACCTGTGGGGACACCTCAAAACCTTGGTGTATTCCACTCCGGTCGATACTAGGGAGGAACTTCTACGGAGAATCACGTTTCATTGTGATGTGATAAGGAACAATGCTGGGTTATTGTGGCGGGTACAGCAGTCCTCAATTCGTCGTGCTCGCGAGTGTATCAGACTTCATGGAGCCCATGTTGAACCCTGTT